TAAGCCCATCTTTAGTCTATAACTGATTGGAATACCTAAAAGGGGTTCTACAACTTGCCCAGTGAAATAGGCCTCTTGAGGAGCTTTTGTGAAGTGTATAGGACTTTAGGTGGAATCCTAAAGTATAGGACTTTAGGTGGAGCCCCATCCAGAACCTTCTGAGGTGGGATATTCCCACTAGAAAGGACAAGCATATCAGCCTGGAACCGCTAGAGCAACAGAAGATACAACTTCAAAGAAAGATCAGCAGGAAAAGCCTCAAACAAAAATGGCAGTATGATTGGCTACTACAAGAATAAGCAAGTTGTTCACTGGGAAGCCATTAAGGCAAGCAATCAAGTCCCTTCAGGACAAACACCCCTCTAAGACTGAAACTCAGAGCGAACACATGAGCAGGCATGCAAACTTGCTGGCTTACACTAGAGGGTCCCGGATAGAGTATAAGAAAATGTGGAATAAAACTCAAAATTACTAAAGAATTTTTTTAAAAGACTGGCTTACTAGTCAGAAAGAGACTGGATGAACTTGAGACTATGGCCCTTGACCAACCTTCAGATCTGGAAAGGAAATCACACCTGTGGCCCAATTTTCAGACAAAGAGTAGATACGTATATGGGGGGGAAACAGTACTAGTAAGGTATGTTCAACATGGAATGGTCAATCACTGAAAATCAAAACGGGAACATTTACCTAAGGACAAAGTTGAGAAGGGCTGGGAAAGTGTGTGGAATAAAATAAGAAACACAGGAAGAAGCAGGATAACTGTTGTTGCATGGAGGGGACTGAAATCACTGAAATAAAACAAAGTCTATGATTTGCTGACTGCGAAACTTACTGTCTGTAAACCTTCATAAGTCACAATAAAAAAGAAAAATCAATTGTATTTCCATATTCTAGCAACCAACAAAACATTACCATTTACAATAGCATCCGAAGATATAAAAAAGGTACTTAAGGATAAATCTGACAAAAGGTGTAAAAGATTTGTGTTTTGAAAAGTACAAAACATTGCTGAGAGAAGTTACAACAGTTTGAAGACTAACATTACCTGATTTCATGAATTATTATAATGTGACAGTAATAATCTATTAAAATAGATCTAGATTCCAGGCCGGTCTCTAACACTACCAGGAAATGAGATGAATAAATAAATACAATATAGATAAAGTATATATATATAGTACTTAAAAGGGAGGTATCCATAATCACATTTTCTTGGAAGAAATATCCCTGCAAAAGAACCCTTCAATCTAAACATGTAACTAAAGGAATAACTGCCTCTACGTTTTTATTATATATATGTATCAACTACAGTGACTCTTAACAGAAATATTATTTGACACTACATAAAAACAAAAAACAAATCAAAACATGCAAACACTGAAACTTCTAGTTTCAGCTAAAATTATGAAAGCTACAATCCTAATGGGGAGGACATACTTAACAGTATCAACATCAGCTCAGCAGGTAATTTTACTTACAAATGTGAACTGAGATTGGAATTCTTCAATCCATGAGGACGCACCAACAAGCTGGTGATGGTGGTCTGTGACTGGAAGTGCTTTGAGGGTGAAGCTTTTCTTACAATGAAGCTTTTCTCTTTTCCCCTGTTAAGAATCGTTAATAAAATTCACTGTAGATACTTCTGTCCTTTCTTAAGTTTTGGTTCCTTTGAAATTTAACTAGTGAAATTAATATAGTATTTTATCTTTACATGAAACCTGCTTTTTAAAGTCAGTACATTTTAGATTCCACTGATGCTATTTTAAAAGAATTTTCCAAAAATAATTCTAAAGTTTGTCTGGAAACACAAATTTTCCTAAAAAGAAGATAGAGACTATGCTTGATCAGGTATTAAAAACATATTACATAGTAACAACAGTTAAAATAGTTTCTTAGGACTAGACAGAAAATCTAGACATAGACCAATTTATACAAACCCTTAAGACAAGATAAAAAGGGGCATTTTAAAGAACTGGAGAAAGGCTACAAGTGATGTGTTAAAATTCTACTAATCAAAAACTATGATATCCTTTATATAACAGAAACAAAATGAAATTCATGTGTAATAAAATTTATATAAAAGTAAAAAGCATAAGGAACTTAAAAAAAAAAGGGAATATTTA